TGCTGATGCTGCATACAAAAGTGAGGAATATTCAGACTTAGTCAAGCATAGACAGAAAAACATCCTTTCTGAATAACAAACTACAGGTGGGCTTTCTTCTGAGGAACAAATAGCTGTTTTGTCATTTCTTTTGAGTTGGTGTTACCTAAATTTAGGCAGTCTTAGGCAGCTATGAGACTGTCTTCAGTGCATAGACCTTGGCCTAAGAGTAGTTACAACTTGTGAAGTAGTTAATAGGGAATCACTCAATAACTACATGTCTAGCATGCTCTCTACAGATCTCAGTTTCCTTTAAGAAAATGGAATGGAGGCTTATCAGAGCCAAAGTGATCATCATCAACTCTCTGAAGGATTAGTTTTCCTGAAGTTTTTTTTTCCATCCCCAAAATTTGATGTAGTAAAATCCTGTTTGGGAGGAAACCTAAATGCATGTTTCAAAATAGCATGTTAAAAAATACGCTAGGGAAAACATTTTTCATTGGTAAATGTAACTGCTTTATTTCTGACTCTATCTATAGGCTAAATAAATTTTCTTCAAGGGAGAGAAGACGACTAACTTTCCAACAAAATGTAACATTCAAATACTAAACTGGATACCCGGATTTTGAAGACAAATCTTGAAATAGAATAAGGTGCTCATTAAAGTACTTCTAAAATGTATTTTGTCTGCTTTTGAATTATAAGATTTGTAAGTTGCTTTTTAAGAAACAAGATGAAGAATTGACTCCACCAAAATACTTAGTAAGGCTGATACTAAATTTAGGCATCATGGCCATGGAAAGAAGTAAAGTAGTCCCTCTACTGTACTGCTGTGATAGGTGTGTGCAGGAATACTTGAGGTGATTGGCTGCAGGAGAGTATGGCAGCAGGAAATTACAAAATAACATTTCGGCAAGGGATATGAGAGTCCTAGCATAAACTGGAGAGTGACCTACAACACTAAGTCAAGTGAAACAATAATAAATACCAAGCCAAAGAAAATCTGCTGTTGGAGTAATTACTGAAGTAAGAAATTAATGGGCTGAGTGAGGCTGTAGTTCTTGCCGGCTGTAGTTCTTGCCAGCTGTACCTGAAACAAGGCTGAGGAGTAGTGTCCCTGACTGGGCCATGGGCCAAGGTACACTTCCTCTTGCAGGACCCTAATTTTGAATTTTATGCCATGTTTTACCTAAACTGGCTGCATACTGAGAACCAGGCTTGGTTACTCACATCTTGGAATGTGGCTTTGATGTGACTTCTAAGAACTGCTTAACCTCTGTGACAGAGTTAGTGGGAGGCAGCCACATTGAGCTGGGAGCTGGGATGGGTTCCTCTTGTGACTGGAAGACTCCTGCAAACACCTACCAGTTCCTGGTTCTTTCTAGGGGAGATGTAGAGTTAGTGAGCTTTCAAGCTTGACTAAATGATTTGATGTTGATGTTTCAGAATATAAGGCCTGCTTTTTAAATGGCATTTTTTGCTAAGAACATAAATAGCATACATAGAATTTTACTCATTATCTAATTCTTGGTGCCTATTCTGGGTAATACTGGGTGTGCTGAGAGCATGGTGTCCCTGGGGTTCTTTGTGTAGTTGTGTGCTGTAGAATAGTCTCAGCCATGGAATCTTTGTTGTTCTGGACTTTATACAAGCAAGAAGTGCTAATTTTGCACTTGAAGAGAGGATCCACGTTAGCCTAGGCAGGAGCAACTGTGTGAATGGGGGGTTTGAGGCCTTGCAGTAGGAGACAACTGAGAATTCATCTAGGGTGAATGGGTAAAACAGGTTAAAGTCTCTCTGAGTGCAATAAAATAAGGAAAAAAAAAGCTAAACAAAAAACAATAAAAAAAACCCAAACAAACATGAAAAACGTTCAATTGGATCTTTTGAACATTCATGTGAGTGGTGTGCTGTAATTTTGGATTTCAGAATTGCACTGTATTATAACTTCCCCACAACAATTGCACTGGGCTTCAAAGTAGAGCTGCTTAGGAAACTCCTCTCTGTCAGTTTGTTGAAAGTCAGACATTTTACTGTGAACAGTTTGGTAATTTTAGTGAGATTTGGTAATTTGGTGAAATTCTGATAGTTTTTCTGACACCTCGGCCTGTCTATAACCAAGACCTTACCCACAGACCCAGAAATAAGGGAATTCTGGAAAAAAAATCTGTGGTGCATTAATAGCAAAGAACTGAGATTTCATGTAGAATAAATGCAGAAGCCACACTTAATATTGAAACAAATAAATACGTGTAGTGTTGAATTAGACCGAATGTGTTGACCAGAAGTGATAGGTTCATATGTTCATATATTTGTTTGTGTAAGCTGTGGCATGTATCCTGACATTTTCTCTTAATTCTTTGGAGAGGGAGGAGAAATAACCCAACATAACTCCCTGAAAAACAATAACAAAACCCTTGGGTAGAAACCATTATATTTCTAGTCAGAGTGCTGTTTTAAGTTGCACTACAATAGGAGTGGTCAGTAGGCAAGCATTAAATTGTATTTTGAAGTTGCAGCTGTTTTCAGTTACGTATTTTAATCTTCAAAACTTTGATTAGTGATCTTTGGTTCTTACCTATTTTGTTTTTGTGTGGTCTAATAGCAGTCTCTGCCAAGTGCTTTCTCCTTCTGTAAGGCTTATGTAGGCACACTTCATCACCTCCTTCTGGGGACTGCTGTATCTCTGCTGAGACACAGACAGCTGCTGTGATGATTGCCGGTTTCTTTGTATCTGTTGCTCAGATTCTGTTAGAATTCTGCTTGCTAGCTTCCTAGCATGTTAGTTTCTTCTTCATACAGTGCCAAACCTTCTCTGTTTTTTACAAGAGCAGTGAAAATTACTGGTTGTCACCTTTTTTTTTTCTAGTCATGGTTTCTTTTCTATGTGTATTTTCTCAGACATTTCTCTGGTTTCTTCACCTTTGCGTTTTTTTTTTCTTCAAGTGGATTTCACATTGGTTTCTGAAAAAGTGTATATTCTCTTAAATTCTAAATCTTTTGTGTGCATATTAGTTGCAAGATACACACTGACAGTACAATTTGAGAATAGCATTTGCTCATTATCGTCCTAAAATTCATACTCCTTGTCCAGATTGTTTCATGTTATCTTGAAACAAGCCATAGCTAGGTACAAAGAGTAAGCTGTATGGCTATTGGGTTTGATTACACCAGACAAGTGAGAATCCCTTTAGGAGAAGGATTTGCGTGGACTGGTGAAGCTGTTTGAAGATGATGTGTTGTGTGCCAGGAAATAACATGCTGAAATAGGAGAGGGAGATTTAGTTCAACAGACTTGTCCTCCACTTTTTCAATAATCATTAAACTTCTTTTCCTGTTATTTTGCCAGTCAATATTCACCCATCTGTCAGGACAGATCACTTTGCTAGCTATTGAATTTTTGACTGACTTCCTGTAGATCCTTGTCTCATACGGTTCAGCAGCCTTAGCCCAGTTCTGCACTGAAGTTCTCAGGTTTGTGGAGATGGGTGATTCTTTTGTTGTATAAACCACAATTCACCTGGTTTCAAATAAGAACTTATAAGAATTATTTTTTTCCTTTTGACTTTTTGAATAATGTAAAATAATTTTTAATTAACATTTTTAATCACTTTATTTGCAGCTTTCAAAAATTTTTTTTCTAGGATGTATGTACTGCAGTGCTCCTGTTCTCGGGGAATTAATGTGCTGTCATGTTTGATCATGTACACAGAGTATTTCTTTTTTTTGGGGGGGGGGGGGGCCCTGCACAGCAAAATCAGATTTTCTGTTGCGTGAATTTTCCAAGCACCTTAAATGAGCCCTAAACAATTCTTCTACTTGAGTGGCATAACTTTCAGTTCATTTTTGAATTTTGCTCTTTACAACTGAAACTTGATTCACTTTGGAAGTTTTTTACTTCAGTTTAGGCTCTGTACTTGGTGGTTATTCTCTGTGGTTTTTACTTTGTCATTTTCCTGTGTGAACATGTCGTTGTCCTTCCTCTGAGAGAGGTACTTTTAATTCCATACTCTTTATGATCAGGCTAATCTTGAAATTATAGCTTCAATAACTTTATTCACAAATGTCCATGGAACATCCATTGCTATACCTGAATTTTAATACAACTGGTACAAACCTTCTTGGGAGATTTGACTTGAGTTTAATCTGTTTTGAGTTCTAATAAGGCAACCTAAAATATCTGGGATGTTCAAGGGGCCTCGTTCTACTGGGTGTCGTTTTGGCGTCTTTTCTCTCACAAGCAAATGAGACTTGTCAATCTGATAGAAAAAAGAGAAACTATTTGTAACATAGAGGACGTGCTAGGTAGACTGTGAGCTGTTCTCTTATTAAATCTGACAGCAAAATGACTCTTTGTTTATGACCACACATCCTCCTCTACCCCCCTTAAGTTCTCCTCTCTTCTGTATAACCTTGAGCGCTTATGGGAAGTATTTTCGTAGAATGAGATCACTCATACCACTGAAATCTTCTAAAAATAAACAGAGCTTATGGACTCAAATGTATAGCTTAATTTCCTGTTTAGCTAATAGCAATCTTTCCAAGTGATTCCTGACAGGAACTCTTCCACTTGTCGTTTGGCTCCCTCTTCTGGTCATCCTTTGGGAATGCTCAAATGAAATATTTTCTGTAGACAAAAAAACCCCAAACCAAACACAAACAAACGAAGAAAAAAAAACCCAACAGGACAAAACAAAAATCTCCAGAGCAGTGTGCAAGGCTGATACAATTTATGTACACGTTTAACTTAAAACTATCACATGATCTGGTTCTAAATCTACTTAATTTTTTTTTTACTAGTTCTGAAACTTATAAATAATTTCCCTTTGTTTCTTTGCATTTCCATCACTTCTGTCAGTATGCAAGCACTGAAGATCACGTTGAGGGCAATCTGTGGAAGTACACGTTGTGCAGTATTTGGCACAGCCAGATTCTGTGTCGTCTTGTATCATATGCTGTGATTAGTATAGCTTTTATGCTACTATTCTGCAACTAATCATGGTTCATTTCTTTTTCTCCAGGTGATAGAAACACTCTCAAAACTTTCCCGCACTCCTATTGCAATCGGCACAGGAATAAGGTACGTTATTGGCCTAGTAAATGGTGTGAATAATGCCTCCTGCCTGGTCCTCCTTGGAAATGCTGGTGAGGGCCATGCGGGTAGATGTGCAATTTTTATCAGATGTTTGCATGACCTGGCAGAAGGAGAAGTTTGTCTTGCAGTTTATTTGGAAATTGATTTTAAAGGGAATACACTGTTTCTGGTACATTTACTGAAGTGCCTGAAGCCTTCTTGTGCTGAAACGTGCAAGTGAATGTGGAAATGAGTAGTTAGTGCTATAGCTTTTTTGTGAAAATTGTAATATAGTTCATAAATCCAACTACTGATCAATATGAAGAACAGGTTTTCTCCTTTTTCTGTTTTCTAGAACTAAGCAAAACTGCCAAATAGGTGAGATTCTTGTTGTAAAAAAGAAAGAAACAAAACCCAAAACTCAGAGATCAAACCAACTGGGAAATGAACCCAGTAGATCAATCAAACCTAACTTTGTGAATTCTAACTGTGGGCTGTGAGAGGAGGTGAAAAATCACATACTTCAGCTTTGAAATTCTCCACTTTCTTTGTATGTTTTAATTCAGCAGTCTTGCATGAATAGATGTTTAAAAAACAAAACAAAACAACATAGGGACCCAAAACAAACCAAAGAGCCTTCTCAGTTCTGTAATCCATGTCCTGTGCTAAAAAATCATACTTCACTGTAAAAGCTGACAATAATGTCTATTAGTGGGGCTTTCATGAAATATCAACTCATATATGCCAACCTAGATATAAATGTTACTGCTTATCAAGTAAAGGAGGAAATGTAAAACATCTTAACATTAATGAACTGAGTTATCTGTATGAAAACTTCAGAAGCCAAACCAAAATGACTTAGCAACTATACAAATTTATAATATTTTTCTTTCTATAGGCCCTTCCCTACAGAAGAAAGCGTTGATGACGAAGATGTCTACAAATGTCTCCCTGATTTGATAGAGTATGTTGTAAACCTTAAGTTAAATGAAAGATTTTGGTTTTCAGTTACACACTACTATTTATATGATGATTTTATTGAAGAAGGGGATATTAGTTTGATTTTTTTAGTTTGGTTTGCAATTATGGTGACCAGACAGAATTTAGTTACGGAAGCTTATCTGAAGATTGGAATATATTTATATATTTAAAGAAACATGTTTTCTAAATGGTTCTGGTGATGAAGTGAATCATGAATGCACTTAGGAATTATCGTTCTGAACAATGGGAATACATTCAGAGAAATATGGTATCAGTTTTAAGGAACTCAAGGAAATTGTCTTAGTCTTGCAAAGAAAATGCAATGAAATTCTTTGTGTAGATGCATTTACATTTTTGGACAAGTGTTTGCAGGATTATTAATTATTGCAAATATTTGTATTGGCTTTGAGTCAGAAGTAGAATAGACATGAAAATACTGTATAATGGTAGTTTAGGCTTCTCCAGATCTCTTAGGAATCATGCTGGGAAAAAGCTAGGGTCAGAGTGTATTGTCCCAAAGCTTAAATTACACCAGTGTTTGGTTCACCGGTCTTCATCCTGCTTTCTTTGCATGGGTTATGCTGTAGGTCTCTTGCTCTGGTGTAGCTGCTGTTCATACCATGGATTTTTTTTTCCTTTTTTGTCTATATAGAAGGAAAAATCCTACAGTGGAGTTTACAATGTGCTTCCTGGGTTCATGCAGACAGTTCACTTTCTAAAATAATTGTCCTTTTTAATATCCAGTCCATGTACCTGACTGGATTGATTCTCATTTTCTTTTTTTTTTATTTTCACTCTGAAGAATTTCAGTGTTATCTTCCTACAACAAAATCCCCCAAATAATAAGCAAATCTGAGCATGTCTCTGTGTTATTATGACCAAACTACTTTAATTATCTTTTAGCTGTTTTGTAGATGTAATTTAAGAAATGTGGGTGCAAGAGGTTTTATGGACTATGTACAGTCTTAGTGTGAATTAAGCAAAATCCTACAAGACTGACTTTAATGAAGCTAAATTACCTGAGGGTAGAGTTGAGCATAGACTTTGTGGAGCTAATGATGTTGTCTGCATAAAGGACATCTTTTGTGGTGTTTTGATTTTTTTTTTTTTTCTTTTAAATATCTGATTTTAAATTGGAAAGGGCACTTTATCATTTTGGGTAGCTGAAGGTTGCTTTTGGTATGGAGGTAGAGACTCTCAGCTGCTTGCTCTGCAGTCTTCATTATATTTTACCTCCAGATAATTTTTTGTTTAAGTAGGAAGGATCCTGTGCCACTGTCCTGCATTACAGAGGGATGCCAGGCAGTCAGAAAGGGCAGCTTCCTTGCCTCTGGATGTGGTGGGGAAAAGGATGAAGAGAGTGGGGCTGGATACTATGTATTGACAGAACTGTCCTGACAAGCTGCTTTTTATGCCTCGCTGATTTTATGTGGTTCTGAATTCATTCAGTCTTCAGTATTGTGTTCATTTCATGCAATCATATTTTAAATCTATTGAGGAAAGACAACTAGTGAACTTAATTTTCCTTTGTGGATTCTCTTCGCTAGATACTTCTATTAATTAATCTCTTTGTTTACTGCAGCAATTTTTTCCTTTAAGAAAGGCTCCTTTGCAGAGCTGGCATTGTAACTTGCCTGCGCTGCACAGCTTTTTAAAAAATTCATCTTTTTCCTTTCAGTGAAACTGGTGTTGATGAAGATGAGGAGCTCTATGATTGTGTCTATGGAGAAGATGAAGGTGGGGAGGTTTATGAAGACCTAATGAAAGATGAAGCAGCACAGCAACCTGTATGTTTTCTAATTCCAAACTTTTTTGTGCAATAGTGATTCTTTATTAAACATGTGAAATTACCTCTTTATATGTAGTTTCACTGAAACTTCACTTGGGCTTAATTGCATGTAGGTCTGTCGTGTGCAGTGTATTGTCTCCTACTTTGTGATCTCTTTTGGCCAAGGGTTGAACATTTATCTATGGTAATTTTTTGAAAGAAATGTAGTTGATTTAACTGAAATATAAGATAATTTGTTACTAATAGGAAAATTTATCAGCTACTTTAAAAGTGATTAAATTTCCTGCTTACTTCAAAAGTAAAAAAAAAAAATAAAAAAAATAATGTGAAGCCTTGTTTCTTCAGCCATAATTTGGACAATTAATATTCACTTTTGAGCTGAAGCTCAAAAGATTTTAATTAACATAACGGAGATGTAGGTGTTTTTTCTACTGTGTAGTTGGTAGTCTCCGACAGTTGTTAGTTAGTAAACTTTTTCTGGTTCTTTTTTTCTGATTACAAATGCCATTCTTGCCTATCTGCCTTTCTAGTAAACGATTAATAGAGAATTTAGATTTTACATGCTGTGAACTGTATTGCATCTTAGCCTAGATACTTCAGATTGAACAGGCTGTTTCTAATAGAAAATGAGTGAAACATGAAAACCTAGTACAGCTAACTATTTCTTCCTCAATGTATAATGAATGGTGACATTACAATTGCTTTGCTCGGGCAGCTTTCTTAAATGTGTTAATTATTTCTGCTTTGTGGTAATTTCATCTCAGGTTTATAAATGCACTGTGTGCTAATACAATTATTTAACACAGTTCTTTTATTTGAATACTCCTACAAGAACGCCTTGCAAGTGAAAAAGATTAGTACAGGACAGTCTTCATGCAGATGTTCAGAAGAACCTAATGTTTTTAAGGGTCTGTAATAGCAGCCAAAATGCTTTGCGCCTCCCTCACCCTTGATTTATCATGATCATCTTGCAAAGTAAACTATTCCACTAAGTTTTCTCTCAGTTGATGACCTTCAGATGCAATTTTCCTCACTTGTACTGTTATTTACACATGATTATTTTCTTTTCTCCTGTTATTTACTGCACCCAAATTAGAAAACTTCGTGGTATGAATAGGAAATTGATGTGTTAAATGCTGTCAAAAGTGCTTGTGGGAATGATCTATTTGGGTCAGATGAGCACACGACTGAAATCAATTATTTTACATGAAATCCCAGGATTTTGTTTACTTATATCAGTTGATGAACAACAAATACCCATGTTCTGCAAGTGGTTATGCACTCTATTGAGTGCAACTACGTTTGTGCTGATGCAAATATTACAAAACTATATGTGAAAAATAGCTAAAAGCCCAAATAATGTCAATTAATCTATATTGAGATTAAATATAGTTAATGGTATCAGAATTTAGGAGTAAGTGATAGATTTTTTCAGATGAGGCTGAATATCAGAATGCTCTCCAAGTATGTTTCCGCTTACGAAAGACGGCTTTTATAAGTTTTTTCCAAATGGTTACTTCTGTCTCCAGCTGGTCAATAAAGCACTTTAGTGCTTGGTGTGGGGGGAAACTAATAATTGCAAAACTTAGGGTTTAAAGAGAAATTTCAGAAGTTGGAACACCTGGTAGATAAGTGAGGAGCATGTTCAAGTTGCAGGAATTGCTTGTAGAATCATTCAGAGATAAACACAGAGTAGGATAAAGGAGATAAGACGATGAAGATAGTGATGAAGATTTATTTGTCTATATGATATGGAACTTTTCACCTGGTTTGCATACATTTCCTATTCTTCACATGTGGCCAAGCCATCCTAAGAACAGTATGGTTGTGTGGCTCATGGTCAGTTTAAATGTGGTTAGCGATTTGCTGTGTTGTATTTAGGAGATATGTCAATATGACTGATAGTGGAGAAGGGAGTGAATTCAGTATAACTCTTGGCCATACTAAGAGCTAAATTTTGAAATTTCAGAGTCTAGAAGTATTGCCACTTCTGGAAGAGAAAAAAGACTTAAGCTTAAAAGTTAAGTCATTTTCTGAATGCATAGGACTATAGTACTAGATTGCTAAATTCTTCCTGATTCTGTCTGTAAAGAGTAATGGCTGGTCATAAGGTCTGTTTTGTACATGATGTGAATCACCTACGCAGATTGAGAAATGTAAGTTATGGTCCAGAAGGCCTTAGGAAAGTATTACAGACTGGTAATTAGGCCTTAGAAAGGATGTGATGTTATTGTTGCTTGTTATGCAATTGCTTATTGGTGTTTTTGGAGAAAACATTTTGGGTCAGTAATGACTTTAATTGTGAGAGCTTAGTTGTTTTTTGTGTCAGGTCTCCCAGATACGTTTCTAGCTGTTTTTAAAACTTGTGTGGCATGAGCACGTTCATACCTGCTTCTGGGTGTCTAATCTGTAGCTGGAAATGAGCTTTACAAATTAATGAAACTGTAACACTGTAAATCTGATCTTCATTAAGAGTGCTTGTTAACTATTATTATGGTAATTACACAGGCCACTCTGAAAGTAATGCCTCATATTTATTTTCTTGGAAACTATGACAGCTACAAAGAGCATAGTAACTCTGATAGAACAAATTCTCAGCTACAAAACACTGCTTTTCAACATAGTTACCACAGTTAGCTATGCATTTTTGCCAGCTATGAACAAGAGCCTGCATGGCAAATTGGTCATCTGGAATATGGCTAGTCTTTCAAGCTGCTGTCGCCACTGCTGGAATACACCAGTTACCACTTGACTGTGCTCATGTACACTGACTGTTTGGTCTCCTCATAATGCTCCTCATAAATGCTCAATAAGCATCAATGACAGTCGGTGGTTGCCATTTTTTCCCCATGGAGTAATTCAGTGATGACATTTTTCCTACATCTGTGTTTCCATATTGGGCTTCATTTGTCCCTCTGCTGCCATGTGTCACACTGCAACAAAATGTAATGATGTATTGGTGGGAAGGTTCAAGCTCTACTGCTGTACTGCCAATGTCATAAAATAGGAAGCAACACTCATGTATAATTGTTATACGAGTCTTCTAATTTATGTGGAAAAAATCATCCCAGATAAAGACAGGCAAGAGCTGGACTTAGAAATCACTGCATTTCCTTGTTCAAACATGTGATTACTTTGTGTCCGAAGAGAAAGTTCCACTTGAGAACTAAAAGCTGTAAATAAGTACAGGCGCTAGACTGAATATTTACAGCAATGTAAAGTTACTTAGGTGAATTAGTCCCATTAAATTTAATGGAATTACTAATTGCTCAGTATTTAAAATAGGACTCTGTGCCCTTGTTTTTCAGCTTTTGAAGTACATACAGACAGCTGAGCTCTCTTTGTCTAAACATAAACTTTTCATAGCATTCCTTTGATGTGGAATTGTAGTAGAAGTCTAAAAGCCATCAGCTAATTGAACATTAAAATATTCTTTGTTAGTGCTATCATCTTTGGAGGCTTCCGTACATAGACAAAAAATAAAAATAAAAATTCAGGAAGCAGTTATCCTAATTGCTAAATTTTAAACAAATAAGTATGTTATCCATTAGGTGCCTGTTAATAAAATAAACTTGGCTTCACTGTAATTTCAGAAACATACTGAGAATGATGTAAGAAGTTGCTGTCTTGCTGAAATAAAACAAACTGAAGAGAAATACACTGAAACTCTGGAATCAATAGAGAAAGTAAGTATTACTACTTTACAAAAACGTTACAAATGTGTTTCTATAGCATTCTAGAAAATATAACGACACAGTCAATGTATGTATTTTTTTCCCTGCAGTTTTTTATGGTGCCATTGAAAAGGTTTTTGTCAGCATCAGAGTTTGAAACTGTTTTCATCAACATTCCTGTGAGTAACTGTGTATTTAATAAAGAGCTATAAGATTGGTATCTGGTTATGATATATTTGTATTTTATGTTAGTGTATAAATTGGGTATTTGAAATACCATGCAAAATTGATTTGTGTAGCTGTAGAGTACTTAATGGAAAAAAGTATGCACACTATTTTATTTTTTTTTAGTCCTTTTCATGGAATAAAATGAGAAATAGTGCTCTCATAGCAGATAGCAAGCTTAACCACTTTTTAACCAAAGAGGATCATTTTTGTCCTATAGAGGATAATTTATAGAAGACAGGTTAATTTCTAAAATATGCCACTGAGTGACTGTATAAAACAGTCACTGTTATGTTGCCTACCATTCAACATGCAGCAGTGCTTTCAATAGGATTTCTATAAAGAGTCTGCAAATCTTTGTATCTAGCCCAGTCTGTCATTGCAGACATTTTGATGTTCAAATAACTTTTAGATTCTGAATCTGGCAATGAACAGCAAAAGCAAATCCTCTGAAGTGTCTAGGAGATGTTATTTGACTGAACTATTCAAGGTTTCCTGTGATTATCACTTTGTCCCACTTATTTTTGGCCTTTTCACAATAGTATGACAATTTTTACATACCTTTTTTGTAGTTGATTTAAGTATCCAGCAGATAACTTTGCTTTATCTGACATTAAAGAAAGACATCAGACATGGTCTGAAGCTTGTCTTAACAGAGAGAAATGAAAGGTCTGTTCTTTCACGAGGCAGACTGTAAAGGAAAGATCCCCAAAGTGTGGCCCATGGACCACATCAAACCTTTATCACCTATGAAAGATCATCTGTGTTGGCTATCTCTGGAATGTCCTGCAGCTTCTCAGGGCTGTGGGAAGAGGTGTTTGGGATTTTTTCTTCAATGGAATCTGGTCTGCAAAAATATTTTAATTGCTGAGCTAGTACCAACCTGACTGCAGTTAAATTATAGCAGTTATTGAACCAGTGAGTCATAAGGTGATACCTCACATCTTTCCGTATTTGTCTCTCTGTTAAAGTTTTCACTGTGAATCTTAATAGCTACAATTTCCTCCTCTTTGACCGTTAGTCTGAAGTACTGCCACAGATATCAGTAACCTACTTGTCTTAGAATATGTCAGCTGCCTTTAGAGAACCCTTTGCTTCAAAAACAAATTGATGTTCTGTCCGATGGCAATGTTTCTTATTCACTCTGAAAGAAGCTGCGATGTGACCTTTCTCACCAACTGTAAATCTTTCTAAGGTGCAGTGTGGCCAGGTACACTGACTTACCTGCACTGAGTGCCTCGAAGCCAGCCAGTGTGACACACTTCACAGGGATGTAGAAGGGGCATATGCACTGCAAGCAGAAACTGAGGGATCAACCTACTTGCTATTCCTTCAAGAACTGTAAGGAGATCAAGCTTTCAGTATAGTGGAGACCGTAAGAAAGGAGACGGGCATTTTAGCAGAAACCGTTGTGATAGGATGAGGGGAAATGGTTTCAAACAAAAAACCCCAGGAGATTTAGATTGAGTATAAGGAAAAAGTTTTCTAAAGTAAGGGTAATGACTCATTGGAACTGGTTGCCCAGAGAGGTGATGGGTGTCCTGTCCTTGGCAAGGCAACTATGGTCAAGTTAGATGGGGGCTCTGAGCATGTGGTGGAGCTGTAGGTGTCCCTGTTCTTGCAGGGCAGTTGGGCAAATGGTCTTGAAGGGTCCCATTCTACTGAAATGATTCTATGATACTGAGATAAGAGGAGTAAAAAACAACAAAAGCTATCCATATGTGATTTGGAATTAGCAAGATATAATAAACTGTTATTCAGGTATTTTTTAACTTCTCTTTTCATTATAGGCATGCAGCATTCTGCTTTTACAAGATCACGGTTATTTTCTTCTAACATCTCATAGGCGTCTGACAGCACTGATAGAAATGTAGGGTTTGTCTAAACCAAAAAAATGTGCAAGTATTTTCTCTGCTCAGACCTTGTCTCTGCAGCAGTTCCTCAGCAGGAAGGCTGGAGGGCAGTGAAAGCTCACTTTAAATTGAAAATAGCTGTTAGAAGCTCTACAGCAAAATGGTAATGTGAAGAGTAGTTGTGGTGGTCTGAAGACGGGGCAGATTTGTCAGATTTGTCTCCGGTAAAAGGTTGTGGTGACTCATTGGTGCTTTAAGGTGATGCTATGTTCCTTACGTATGGATTATACGAGGATGCTAGCTGGACAAAATTATTTGCTGATGTCAAAATAAATTTTATTAAGGAAAAAGGCCCCAACCACAGCTCACCAGTCTAAATAGTGCCTTTCATCAAGGCTCAGAATTCAAAATTCTATTCTTTAAGATGTATATATGGCTGTATATTTGCATGCATCTGTATACCTCTGTGTATGCATGTGAAATGCTACTGTATGTGCATCTCTGCATGCGTTTGAGATAGATGCAGGGAGAGATGGAAGTAAACATAACGTACTGAAGTACTGACACTTCATTAACCTTTAATGATGTTAGCATCACTTTAATTTAAAAAGTGAAGTAATTTTGGTTGAAAGAGAAGTTAAAGACATTTTATTATTTAATATTCAACTTTATTTCAGGTTTGCTGCTTAGCTGAGTCTCTGTACGCTCATGAAAAAATGTGCTGTAGTATGTTCATCTGGAAACATTTCTGTAGTAGTGTGTCTATATGCTGGAATTTAAGATTCTGAGGATATGGTTGTACAATTGGTAGAAACTGAATTTGACTGCTTTTAAGCTTCTGCTGTGTCAGCTGTGATGTGATTGACCTTGCAGATACTCAGTTTTCGTCTGTAGGAAGCAAAGTGCTTTCACCTAATTCAGAACTCAACATTGTGTATCTTTGTAATGTATCCTTTACTGCATTAAACAAATCTTGGGCAGCTTTCATAAACAATCCTATATTTTTTTTATTACAGAGGCCTGCATACCACTTAATTATCCTGATTAAAGAATTTCTTAACCTGTTTTGACTTAATTAATTATGACTTCTCTGACAGCACCCATACAGGATAAGGCTGGTGTCATCTACAGTAGCATACAGGTTTTTTAAATAATACCAAACTAAGATTCTTTTCTACTGTGCTCACAGAGAAAATATTCTGCAGTATTCTTGCCTCGCTCTCAGCCTTAATTGTCTGCTGTATTGGGAAACCCATTATGATTGCAGTGAATTTAGCACTAGAATATCACTAACTGACCAATGTACAAAACTAATTTTTCACAGCTCAGAGACATGAATAATTACTTTATCTTGTCACTAAAGCATTTACTAGACTTGCTTTATTTTAAAATTATTATAAAATGAAGATGAATTAACAGTGCATGTTCCAAGCCAGAATAAATGAGTCCTAAATAGGTAGTTGTTCAAATTCAGCTTTTCTTATTGCAGTGTATGGAAGATGTGAACACTTTGAATTTAGGTTCTAATCCCAAATGATCTGTTCTCAAGTTTATTCAATTAATGGATTTAAGATGAAGCCACTTAATTTTATATTCCAAACTTTGTTCTGTTTTAAAAATAATTTCTCCCTTTTCATCACTGTTTTTAAGGATTTGGTGAAAATTCATAGGAGTCTAACACAGGACATCAGTGATTCCATTATTAACAAAAACGATCAGAACTTGTATCAGATTTTTATTAGCTACAAGGAGAGGTAAGATTTATGTACTAATTTTTGTCTAACTATGATATCTATGCCCAATTTGTGAAATCATTTTACTGTAAACTAAAATTGAATTCAACATCAGCATTATAAAGCTAATATTTTGTTTTATGAGCCTGGAAGTCAAGATGTCATCTATTACTCAATTACCTAAGAGCTTTGCCTCTTTTTACTCCCAGTTTTGGTAAAATTATTACATAGTTTTATATGAACAGTCCCATGTTGCATCAGGAAAGATTTAGGTTGGTTATAAGGAGATGTCTTCATGGAGAGAGTGTTCAAGCATTGGGATGGGCTGTCCAAGGAAGTGGTTTAGTCACCATCCCTGGATGTATTTAAAAGATATATGGACGTGGCAGTACGGGACATGGTTTAGTGATGGGACTTGGTAGGTCAGGTTGATGGTTGGACATGATCCTGAAGGTCTTTTCTAGCATACGTGATTCTTCAGACAGATAGCAACTATATTTCAAACAAAGCTTAAATAGTTTTTTTTTTTTTTTTTTTTTTGCCAACAGCACTTTTTTTAACCATGCAAATAATCCCAGATATTTTATGGCAAGTACCTGTATTGTTTAATGGATAGAATGGTACAAAGATGTAAGAGGTGCAAAATAAGGCAAGGATATGTAATAAGGGCATTCCAGGTTAAAGAAAACAAGAGAGGTGATAAACATGAAAGCAGAGAAAGTAGGTGTGGAAGAGAAAATTCTAGAGTCTTACTCTGATCTGCAGTTAAGTATGGCAGCGAAGCAAGCATACTTTACCTTCAAACTGCCAAAAATAGCCAGACTAATAACAGGATAGCCACGGGAGCATGTTGTACCCTGTAGGCTAGTTGCCAATATTTTTAACCCCTTTTCAAATTGTGTTTTTGTACTGAACAGCACTGAACAACTGTCGAGCTATATGGATGAACTTACAGACCTGTAATACTTAGCTGAAAAGCTGTGCTGTAGGCTACAGTGCTGACTTAGCACAAAGTAACCCTTGGATTGTGATTAAAATTGAGTTTCTGGATCCAGAGTGCAAAAGAGTGGTGGGATCAAATTGGATTCTCTTGGCAGCGATGGGGAAGGAGGATTGTTGGGATAATAATGGGCTTGTGAGGAACTGAGCAGCAGCATCTGGAAGATGTTTGACGGATGAGTTGTTTTCTGGGTGAGGAGGACCAGCCGGACTGTACATAAACAGTCTTGCCTTTAAGATCCTCTATCTCAGCTTTTCTGGCAGAGAGGGACAGAATTATTCCCTAGGCTGGTAGACTTGCTGCTGCTCTAGGAGGAAAATAGGGGGCAATAACTTGCTCTGGAAAATACTTATTTTTTTAAAAGTAGCACCGAAATGTATGCTGTAAGGGCAACAAAGGACACTGAGAAGAAATCTCAAGCTCACATGTATTATGCAGAAGGGGAACAACATGACGTAGGGCCAGCATTGTAGCACATTCCGGAAGTAATCAGAAGTGGTGTTTAGTCAGTATCATCACTTCAGTTGTGTAATGAATGGCCAAGATTCAGTTGGGGATAAAGGAATTTAGGAGGACCAAAAGGAAAGCCATAGGAACTGCCCAAAAAGGAATTTAAAAACATAGAGAAGGAATCACCTAAAGAAATGTATGGAAAAAGTATAACAAAGCAGAACTCTACAATGGGACTAAAAGAAGCACTTTAAGAAGGGTCAAGAGAATACAGTTATAAAACAAGACTCTTCCATGAAGCATTAGTTCTGTTAATTATTATTATTAGTTCTGTTCTGTTTTAATTCACACTGTTATTTGGATCTGAAAGCTCACGTGATGTAACCTGGTAGAAAATGTTGGAGATGGATCAGTTAGGATAACTTACCAGCTTTTAAAGGATATGCACAATTAATCCTATTAAACTTGTTAGAGAATTTATTCACTGCTCTGCAGTGCTGTAAATATATGGTGTTTCCCTCTTAGACAGTGACTATGCTGCTTTTAATGAGTCCTGCATTTATTGCAGCATACACACGAGAATGTTAAAGGAAGTTGCAGTGATTTTTACAGCATTTTGAAAGCAACTTTAAACTTTATTTTTCTGAATATTTCTCATTGTTTTCATTGTTGGAGTCTGGCTCCAAAGTGTGATCTTTGCATATTTAAATGCTACTCCTGTTGAAAAGAGGACTGCCTTTTTTTTTTTTTTGGTGAAAAATGAGCAAGAATTTTCTTGAAATAAGCAAATGTTCCCTTTATTCTTTATCTTCTGCTTTGATTTAGACTGGTTATTTATGGACAGTACTGCAGTCAAGTGGAAACAGCCATATCATGCTTAGACAACATTTCTAAGACAAAAGAAGATGTTAAGTTGAAGTTAGAGGTATAAGAATTTCATAATGTTTGTGTGTGTGTTTTATACATGTTCTGATAACTATGTCCTGCTTTCATCCAAGTCAAAAACCTGGTGGATTAAAACTGAATTTGTTCATCATGTTTTCCTTGTAATTTATTGATGTTTAGCTATTGAGATACAGACCCTGGCAATCCTGAATGGATGAAGTGAGTGAAGCTTTCCACTGGCAGTATTAGGATTAAGATTTATTTTTGGAACTGATATTCCTCTGTTTGTCATATGTTGGCTGAGAATACAGAATTGCAGACTACTATGCCAAATAAGTCCATCTTGAAGCTTCTTAGGGCTTGCTGCCTACCAAGAGCCCCTGTTCTTTTCAGCTGGGCTACTGGCTGGTGCTCAGGGTTAATATGTCCCAATTTAGTGTGTTCAAGGTGCAGGACTTTGCTTTTTCCTTGAAGGCTTCATGAGGTTCCAGCTGGATGTTCCCTAAAGAGCATCAGCTGCAGCTGCAATCTGGTGTTGTATGTGGACATGCTGTGGATATCCTTCCACTTTCCTGCTAAAAATATTAAAGCTGTTAACTAAGAGGGGAAAGCAGTTAACTCAGACATTGGTGTAACAGTAGCAAATCTTTTCTGTATATTTCCAGTCACCTTCTTTGTTTGCCCAGAAATGGCTTTCAGGAGCATTTGCTTTCAAAACTGTCTTTTGCTTTTTTGAAGGTAGTTGCAATGTCTGCCTTCTTCGCTCTGCTTATAGATGGTGTCTTTTTTTTCCCCACTTCAATCCTATGCCTCATTTCTGTTGTGATGTTTAGTCCGTGTTTTTTCTTGTGAAATATCCAAGAACAAATGTCTAGACACAGTCTTTGTTCAGATTTTACAGTCATATCAACTATTTTGTTCCAGTTTGTTGAAAGCCTTTATCTCAAATTTGCTGAAGTTATTACCATAGCCAATGTATCTCTTCAACATGTTATTCATGGAAAGTAAATGTTGTGTTTGTTTTTTTTTTTAAAAATTATTGTCCTAATCTATTTTTCTGTTTCAAACTAGGAATGTTCTAAGAGGGCCAACAATGGGAAATTTACTTTGCGAGATCTTTTAGTGGTTCCAATGCAAAGAGTGCTAAAATACCACCTACTGCTCCAGGTATTTTATTTTTGAATAACAGAACTGTGATTGTTTATCATCAGTGGTTTATAAGAATGAGAGCTTAAAAGCCTTTATCAAAGGAAGGTAACTGATATTTCCATAGATTTGCGACTAATTTGTAATGAAATAAAATCCAGTGAAGTGCAGGTTTTCTTAAAGGATGATTCCTCAGAGCTGATGCATTTCTGAGAATGATGAAAAAACACAGCTGTTTCCCAGTATTTGAACCTTTCATTCTTGTTATGTTTAAAATGGTTAGTAGTAGCACGCAATAATCGTGGTGCTTTGAAATGTGGATCGTTATCCCCCAACAAAGAAGCTGAACCATACTTACAGCTTACTTTTAAGATGCTTTTCTGCTGTCATAAATTACAATAAAGCCATATTTATTTTGAAATGCTTCTTGTTATAACCCACAAAGCACGAGCTCTCACAGTTAGCCCTATAATAAGGGTGGAGAGTCTTATAAATTTAATTTGATAGCTGTGCCAGGAGACTCATTAGTTCAGCTGCAAAGAAATATATTATTATATGAGACTGTCAGCCCTGCTGATGCTCGTAAAATGTTGTTTTAAAAAAGGTCTACTGCTTGCTTGTATAGTAAATTTTTATTCTATGGAACAACATAGATTTGGCATATTAAGTTTTTGAAATATTTCTGAGCCATCAGCATTTCGACCAACAGAAATTTGGAACAAAATAAATGACCAAACTGCTTTTTAAAAAACATGGGTTATTAGAGTTAGGGTAGTATGGTTAGGTGGTGGCTGGACTTGATGATTTTTAAAGTCTTTTCCAATCTGAGCAATTCTATGATTCTACGATTCTGTAGCTTTATAATCAACATTTTATATTACGAGAAGATGAAATATGATGTATCACTATGTTCTAAAGTTTGAGATAACGTAGTAAAAATACACATTGTACAAAAAATATTTTATAGACTTAAAACGAAAAAATTCTAGTAAAACTCTTAAAATTGTAATTTGAAATATAAATTTTTTTTTAATTTCTTAGGATTTTAAGGAAGCTAGCTGGGATGTATAATTTTATTTTCAAATCCTGAAGAACAAATATTCTGTTTCCTTAGTAGGTTACTTCTTAGCTTAAGAAGAACTTGAAAAAACCTTTTATTTTCCAAAGGGAAAATGGCTAAAAAAAATCTTTGAATATTTATATGTGATTTAAATGTGTACTCTGAGTCAGCTTTGTCTTAGGCCTGATGAAACAGTGACTTTTTAGGTAGTTGTCCAGTTAGCTGAGATCTTACTGGTAGCGTGTGTCCCTGTCTGCAGCCAAGTGAATTCCTTGGAATGGGATTATACACTGGGTAGCAGTGAGGAAATGAACTTGACTAATGATCCGTTTGGCAATACTTAATCGCTATGAAGGCAAAATTGGTTTCTACTTATTGTAATAATACGAATATCAATGTTTAGACTATGTCATTCTTAAATGATCTTTGCCAATTATTTGTTTGCAGCAGTCCTTGCTCAGCTTATAAATTGGTCACGTTGGGGAAGGAAATGTGAATTCTCAGATTGTGTTTTCTGTTCTTAGGTGTGGGGTTTTTCTTTTTTGGGTGGAGTGTGTTGGTGGTTGTTGAGGAGTGGTGCATGGAGTAATAACTTCAGTTTTCAGCTGTCAGACAATTGGTGAGAAGTTTTAACTACTTTTGTCAATAGGAGCTGGTAAAGCACACTACAGATCCCCTGGAGAAAACAAATCTAAAACTGGCGCTTGATGCAATGAAGGTAAGTCGTGCTGATTAAGTTTTTATATCCGTGTTGGCATTTAAAATGGTAGTTCACAACTATATTTCCTGGAAAACAGTGTTCTTCACAACAGATCAAATATATATTTGCTGAAGTCATTGTGTGCTTTGTGAGTATGTAGTTGAAGGCCTTCCCCAAGTCTTGGAACAAATTCAGTAATTTTCTGAAGGGGAGCATATATGAAATGGAGCTTCCTCATTTCAACTTACTTTTCTTATTACTTTGCTGTGTACTGAGGTAAGCAGCAGGTGTTTCAATAAATTTGGTCTTAGTTCCAAAGCATAGGACTATTTCTATAACTCTAAACCAATTCTAATCAAGGTCAGTGGCTTCCCAATGAGGTGAAGACATCTTTCTTTGGAAGACTCTATTTCTATGATCTCTGTGGCTTTACCCTTGAAATTAGTGGTATATTTCTTTAGGGTACAGTACCTGTCACTGTACATCTCCTGCAAGTGGCACAAACAAATGCTATATAGAAGAGAAGTACTGCCTTAATATTACTTTGTGTTCCTCTGTACAGTGAAATTTCTGCTTCACTTGGCTTCACTACATGAGTTGTGAAATTGATGTGGTGAAATTGAGTTTTTTTCTATCCTGTGGTGGGGGGAAGCCAATACAGTATAGGTCATATCTCCTTCTATTGCAGTCTATATCAACCACAGGAGATGCAGAAGTCAAAATAAGTAAGTTTTCAGTCATGCAGCTGCCTATGCTGCTACTTGAATTCCTAGAATACAGACTCGCAAGTGAGGTTTTTGGCTCCCCTTTTTTGTTTCCCAGTTCTGTACAGTGAATGCAGAGAGCACTTGTGTGATAGTCTCCCAAGGAATATGCCTGAAATGGGAGTGGCACAGCATTGCTTCCAGCTGGTGGCAAGGCAGGCATCTTGGTTGCTGGTAATTGGATAGGAATCATAGAATGGCCTGGGTTGAAAAGGACTGCAATAATAATCTAGTTTCAACCACATCCACCCTGGCCTTGAATGCCTGCAGGGATGGGGCATCCACAGCCTCCTTGGGCAACCTGTTCCAGTGCCTCACCACCCTCTGTGTGAAAAACTTCCTCCTAATATCTAACCTAAACATCCCCTGTCTCAGTTTAAAACCATTCCCCCTTGTCCTATCACTGTCCGCCCTTGTAAACGGCCATTCCCCTTCCTGTTTATATGCTTCCTTCAAGCACTGGAAGGCCGCAATGAGGTCTCCCCAGAGCCTTCTCTTCTCCAAGCTAAACAAACCCAGTTCCCTCAACCTTTCCTCATTGGAGAGGTGCTCCGGGGCTCTGATCATCTCAGTGCCCCTCCTCTGGACCCACTCCAAGAGCTCCACATCCTTCTTGTACTGGGGGCCCCAGGCCTGGGGGGAAAACAACTGTGGTTTTATTTTTTTTTTCACTTTTTTTTTCTTCTTTGATTATGTGCTTCATTTTTTCTGGTGATGGCTGGACACAAAATAAGACCAATTAAGAAAACTTTTGTCAGAATGATTGTGGCAGTTGTGTCCTGCCTGCCAGCCAATGATAATAATAAATAATTCTGCAGGAACTGGCATCTCTCACTAAGGTCACATCATCATTTTCCTCCCAATTAAACCATATCCTTCCATACTAAGCCCTGTCAGAGCAGTAGAAGTAGCCATGCAACATAGATTTGTTGCTTCTAAAGGCTTTCATTTGTTTGCTTGGGAATGATATTTGGAAAAAAACTGACAACAAGAGGGTTCCACACCCTGCAAAGAAAATGTGTCATTTGTCTTTAAGCAACAATCAAGAGGTTATTTAATTTCTACACCAACTCTTGGAAGACTGATGTGAATGTATCCTGTTAGCATTCCTTTGGGAAACTGGCATGATAATTGCAGCTATTCTTAGATTCTGATTAAAATTTTATTAGAATATATATCCTTTTCCTAACCCCCCAAATTTGTAGTCGTGCTGAAGGATACAGTAAAAGCAAGTTGTGAAGATCAGAATACCTTTTCTAACCGCTGCTCTCAGCATCCCTGACCTCACCAATTACCACTGCTGCTTGCTCCTTATCTTTAGCCATAAACAGAGAAGCCTCAGCAAATTGTCACTATTACTCAAGCACATTCAAAGCTGTTTAAAGGCTTTAGTGAAATGTGTATGTTATGTGCTCTGGTAAGGAAGACAATAATGATCTCAACCTGTTAATTTAAGTAGTATATCGCTTTAAGGACACTTTTAAAATCTGTGTAATATCTTCTTTCTGCTGTACAACGCTATTACTCCGCAGTAGCTTCTTATGTCCCTCTTAACATGCATTCCTTCACATAAATTAAATCCTTACTTTTGAGGAGCATTACATATGTTTTCTATTATATTCTATTTTTAGCTTCTGTTCTATTATCTGATTTTGAATGTTGACCTTTCTTTAGGCCACAGCTGTACTGCATAAATTACATTTCCATCTTCAGTTTTTAGAATAAGTCATTAACAAAATCCAGAAAGTCACCCCTTTAAAAGAAAAAACAACAACTAAACAGTATGTTGTCTTTTCTTGCTGCAGGATTTGGATTTGAACAGATAAAATGAGGAAAGCTGTATATTTTATTTAAGATGTGCAGAGGCTTTTTTAATGTATTTAGTCAGACAGATTGGTAATTCAGTAATATCAAGTATGTATATATTTGACTATATGTATGTATGCACTTATTTAAATGTGAAGATAAGCCTAAGACAGAACTAGAAATAAATTTGCTGAAATAATGCATTGAAGTGGTTTGTTTTGGACTTTTTCCCTTTTCTGGTTGATGCTCTAGGACTTGGCTCAATATGTAAATGAAGTGAAGAGAGATAATGAAACGCTCCGTGAAATTAGACAATTTCAGCTATCAATAGAGAATTTGGTATGTGATATTTTAGCTTAGTTCTTAGTAACTTTTGATCAAATGTGATGATATATGTATATTTTTATTCCTTTTATATGGGAAGATAGTAAGTAATCTTTGTGAACTTCATGTGCAAGTATGACTTGCTTGGTCTAGAATGATAGAATGATGATTTGCTTGCAGAGATATCTGCTAAAACTCTGTAAATCCCTGCTGGGGGTTTATATGTAGTTACAAGTATTAGTGTAGATAAATGTTTGTATTTGTACAGCGATTCAGATGATTTTGAAATACAAAAAATTCTTTGTCTGAAGACAAATATAGAACAATCTGAGCCCTATTGTATGTAGGTTGCTCTTCAAGTAATGCCTCCTATTTATTTCCCTGGAAACTACAACAGAGATGAAAAGCACAATAGCACTGCTTGATAGAGCAAATTCTCAGCCACAAAATGCTATTTTTCAATGTAGTTAACACCATCAGCTATGCATTTTAACCAGCAATAAAGCCTTCATGCTGTGCTCGTAAAAGTATGCATGGCTGTCCATAACTTGGCTTGTTGTTCATGTCAGTGTTACCACTGCTCAAATGCACCACCCATGAGCACTTGCTGTGCTCACATCCACTGTTTGGTCCCCGTAAATGTTCAGCAAGCATCAATGAATGTCAATGGGTGCCATTTTTTCTGCGTAGAAGAATTCAGTGACATGCCTTTACATCCTATGTGCTTCCAGGTCTGACTTCGTTTTCTCAGACTGTCCCTCTGCTGCCATTAGTTACAAAGCAACAAAATGTAATGGAATACTGATGAGAAGGTTCAACCTGCAATATCTGCCTCTTATGTGAAGGGCCAAGATAACAAAATAAGAGGCATTACTTTTGGAGTGGTCCTTATATTTAGTTTAAATGACAGAGACCTGAAAAGCCCTTTTCTGGGGTAAAAGGAGTGAGTGGTCTAACATTTGAGTGTGTTACCTTACCACTTTTGTTGTACTGAATCAAGCATATTATTTCTGTTTCAGAATCATTCCCTCTTACAGTATGGAAGACCTCAGGGTGATGGGGAAATAAGGATAACTACATTAGACAAACGTGCGAGGCAAGACAGGTGATGTCATGACTTCTGGTGTTTGCTATTAAAATGCCTGTGAAGTAACTCTCTTTGCATGTTTGAGGTCAGTTCAGTGATTCTTGAGAGTAATTTCACTGTGCATTCATAGCCACCATCATTGTTTAGCAAGTGAATTTGCGAAGAAATTATGTATGGGAAATAAGCTATTGTATTATCATGTAAGATAATCTATGTCTGTAGCAAGAGTACTTTCAGTGTTTCTTGTTTTGATATTCAGTAGTTCAGTTGTTCAAAGTTTTAAGCGCCACAGGCAAAGGTTTATAAGATGAGACTTGGTATGCTGGCTATCTGGAATGTTTTTAACTCTCTTTACATTGTATTTTCATAGGCATATCTTCTTGTTTGATCTGGCTGTAATTGTTTGCAAACGGAGAGGTGATAATTACGAAATGAAGGAAATAATAGATCTTCAGAAATACAAAATTACAAATAACCCCACTACTGATAAAGAAAATAAAAAGGTAAGTACTTGTTAATAATGTTCATGTAGAACATATACATTTTTGACAGCAGTTAGAAACCTTTTCACAGGAATTTAGAATGTACATATATAATTTACATACAAAGTTTGAGATATCCAAAAGCCAAGATGAGTATTTAGAAATTTCAACTTTGTTTATTCTGATGTAGCTAAAACATTTGAGTAAGATATTCCCATGTCAATAGAATAGTGTGCTCTGGGTGTTTAGGAGAATAAGGGTTTTTATTAAGGAACACAGAGTTGTGTTTTCATTCATTTTTTTTTTTTTGGACTGCGTAACTGGTGATGTGTATTGCCTATCTTTTTCTACAGTGGTCTTATGGCTTCTACCTCATTCATATCCAAGGTCAAAATGGTTTAGAAGTTTATTGCAAAACTAAAGATTTGAAGAAAAAATGGCTTGAACAATTTCAAATGGCTCTGTAAGTATTTGTGTTAAAGTAAAATCATGTTACTCAAGTGTAAAAATGTCACTTAAATTAAACTATACCACTTACGTTTTATTTTTTAATACAGGCTAGTTATCTATTTTGTTTGACTTTCTGAAAAACACTAATCTTCATGAATGTGGTATTTCCCTGAAACTCCTCTTGAAAAAGAAAGAGGGCACTCTAGACTATGTATTGCCAAATCTGCTGCTAAGACTACTTCAGTAATGCTGTCTTAAACAGCTGAGGGGGAAATAATAATTATTTTAACAATAAAGACATATCATTCTGATAACTTTTCCCCTCCCATTTTAATTTTGAGTAGTTTAAATATATTTTTGAAAGATGACGCAGAAGACTTAAGAGAGGGGATTCTGGCATTTTTCTAGCTAGTTTTTAACTAATCTAACATTTAGTATTTGGAATAAGTTGCTCAACTTAGTACATTTCATTTCAAAACTCTGATTTCCTCTATTTATTTTGAACTAAAAGTAGCAGACTGCTTTAGACTTCTCAAAGTTGTTCAGATGAAGCACTGCATGTAACATTATTGGTATGCCGCATGAGATATATTTCCATATCTGATTCTTCTTGGAAAGACAACTATGATTATTGACACCTCAGATATTTTTATTACATGTAAAACATGTGAACAAGGGAATTGGATGACAAAGTGATGCATGCTTTATTAAAAAAAAAAAAAAAAAAAGCAACAAAGTGTGGGAGAGAGTGAGATAGTCCCTGTGAAAATAGAGAGATAGCATTAATAAGGTTTTTTTGGATGTGATTGCAAAGGTTTCCGGAGTGGAGAAAAAGGCTGTTATGAGCTGATATGACTGGAACTTGCTTATAAGCTATATATATTCCTTCAAAACCTCTGTATGATGAGTGTTAATGATTTAGATGAAAATAAAAGGGAAGACAACCTGAGCTGGAAAGATATAATGACGCCCTCTAACCATAAAAATCTTGCTGATTTTAGCAAAGAAAGAGATCACAAATTTTGGCAGAAATGAATGTTGTAGTGAGAAATGGGAAAAGACTTTATGCAGAAAGCTGCATACCTCACCTTTTCCTATCTTTCTGTCCATGTTCTCCCTGCTGTTTTATTGTCATTATTGATATTTAGACAAACGTTGAATAGAACATGTATGGAAATCATGAGGAACTCAGATGTTTCAGCTTTAGCTCTGCAACTATTGATTGGTTTTCAGACTTCATATCTCATACTTGTGTGCAAAAAATCTGGAAAACCAACAACAGAAATGTTAAGGAGATCATTAAGAGTCGGTTAAGTTTCTTTTTTTTTTTTATGTTTTCTCCAGGAGCACCTCCTCATTTATTCTCAAATATCTTTTTAGTTTTGTGCAGGCATGTTTTCTTGCCCTCTCCTCTATTTTCTCTGGTCTCTAGTGCCTGAGGACATCCCCATCCCTTGTGCGCACACATGCAGCTCCTGAGGCTCCTAGTTAAGAGTTGGGCTGGGTCTAGCCCCTCTGCCTCACTCACCTCCTCTCAGCGCTGCCCCTAGATATGCCTTTGCAAGGAGGGCTGCTGTTGCCAGTTGCCCTCGTGAACAGAGAGATTTGGGCCTGCAGGGCTCACAGGTTATTGTGGTACTCATTCCTCTAGGGATCATGAGGTTTCTCACTAAAAACGAGTATGGTGGCGCCAGCCTCGTCTTGCATAGATGATCATCCCTCCATGCCTCTGGGTTAACCTCTTCCTGTGTGATTAAAGGTTAAAATGCAGAAGCATGGGAACTGGAGGAGCAGAGTTACTACAGGTCAGGGCTAACATGTAACATGATACAGTGGTATGATTTGTATCAGCCGATGCTTTTTCTTTGTTTCTTTATAACCACTAAGATTTAAATATGAAGCATTTGTACTTTATGAAGCTCTTATACCTTTACCTAGTCTGTTACAGGGACTTGACCTTATAGCATATTTCCCACAGCAGCTCTCTCAAAACATACCTCAGTGTATATAGAAATAATGATATTCTAATCAGTCCTAAGCTACAAGAGTTTGGGAATAAATGAAGCCAGCTTCTGAAGAATTGGATGGTTGATTTGATTTGTTTTTTGGGGTGTCATTGCTTATTGAGTAGGTTGCCTACTGTAGTAGTGTCATTCCACTCTGAAAAGTAGCCATGACTAAAAGTATGCAGTTATTCATCATACTCAATAATAATTACCACTTTCTTGGGCAAAATGCTTCTTGTTATTTTTAAATTTTACAGAGACTGCAAAAATGGCACAGTTAAGAAGGGTTGCATTGGATGCTTTTTGATTATCAGCAATTGATGCTGTTTACAGTTCCAGACTAAATTTCAGTGCAGTTCTGTTGCCTTCTGGATAGCGTTATAAATGAAATCAGGTGTCTGCAAGTTTTAATCTAAGAATTAACAAAAGAACAGATTAGGATCTCTCTTAAAATTTATAAATTAAGAGTAACCCTTTTTTTTCCCCCTAGAATAACTCATTGGCATAACTATGTTAGGCTGCAATTTTGCATTCATAGGTTGGATGTTTATATTGGTCTATGAGCAACAGCGATAAGAGTTATTGCTGAAAAGGCACTTACTGTAAAGACAACTTACTTTGGTTCCAGAACCTGTAGAAGTATTTCAAGAAAAATGCTGTTAAAATCTTTTCATCGTAGACAAGACCTAACACCAGTGAAATCAGCTGAATAATTCTTTTGCTGCTCTAGTGTAACTGAGAGGAGAATTTGTCTCTAGATATGGAAAGCTTCTGTTATTGATGAAGTATGAAATACAGGAGAACACAGGATTGCAGACTGGGCTTAGTTTCAGCTTGAGGGGCAGAATACATTAGGCATACTTGATATGGCAAATCTTAGAAATCCCAGTGCAATTTTCAGAGTGCTACTTTTCATACTAGTTAACTTTGTTAGAAAACTACTTTAAACCATAAAAAAATATTCTACCTCTTGGCTTGCGCTGTTGTTATTGTATATATTCTGAGTTGTTTCGTCGTGAGGGAGGCTGGGAACTACTGGTTACTGTTAATATGGAACTGAATATGTTATTATTCAAATAGTAGTTCTGCTACAAGTAGTGTTTTTTTGTTTTTAAAGCAGTGACTGCTGCTTTATTTAGATAATACATAATGGAACAACACCTCCATTTTATTTTTCCAAATGCTTTCATTTGGATGAAATGATGGAGCCAGTACACACTACATTCTCAGCAACAGTAGAACTGCAGCACAGTTGTATTTGGCACTGTTTATCTTTTCACAGTTATTTCCAGTGTTGAAGTTGAGTCTGCCCCTGGTCTCCTTTTTTTTTTTTAGCGTATTTTGTACAATTTGAGAAACTGGTTTGCTGGGAGCTTTGTTTTTTTTCTGAGCAGTAAAATGAGGCAGAACATTGGGGCAGCGCCCATCACCACTGCAGTCACACTCTCAAAGCTGAAACTTGGTTGGGTTCTGAATTCAAGAAGTCTTTGCCACACAATTGAAATATATTTTAGTGAGAACCCTGATTTAGTTTGCTCTTGGCGTGCCTGTTCCCTCTTGCTGGTGTGAGTGGAAGTTCCGGTGCACAGTGAGACTGTAATTGCTTATTGCCTCAGAAGAAGCACTACTTAACAGCAGTAGTGGTTAATTTGGGTGGTTGCTACTTTGTTCTTGGAACTCTATTAATAATAATAGATGAGCTTATAGCTGTATGGGTAAATAAGCACCTTTTTAAAGATAGTACTGCAAAGACTTTACTAGATGTGGAGCACTTGCTTAATCTAGCGTGTCGAATAGCATTGGTTTAAGCGTAGAGTCATTTCATATCCAAGATAATATTAATAGAAATGTACAGCCAAATTACTGCACCAAATTACTCAGCCACACTAGAGACTTGTATTAAGTGAGAGTTTGTCAGCTGTGATTGTGCAAGGCTTATTTGCTGCATGCTAACTATTAAAACCTCAAAAACTGGTTGCAAGTGCAAGACAATTTTGATACGTTTTTCTAGTAAAATGTCCCATCTAATCTTTTTTTTCCTCCTGTGTGGGGAAAAAAAGAACCAGAGTAATCAGAACAAATGTCTCATACCTACAAATTACATAAAATGTTGCAGCACTGGTCGATACTGCTTTTTTTCTAGAAAGTTCTCGTACAGAGTTTTTTAATGCATGTTTAAAAAAAAAAAAGCCCCCCAAACCATTGAATAATATCTTCTGTCAATGAATTTCATGCAAGCAGCTCTTTATTGAAAGAAATTGTTGAATGCTAAAATTGTCTTCCTCTAATTTGAGTGTATATACTTCAGCTGTATTACTTGGGCTTTAGAACTACTCACCTGGCTAATTATCAGGCTTAATGTCTTATGTGGCAACTACTTTTTTCATCATTGCTGTAATGAGTTTCATTCTTTTTTCTTTCATTATAAGATGAAAGAATAAATAGTTTTTTTATTTTACTATTACACAATCTCATGTGGACATTGAACATTTACTTCCATCCACTAAATATTACTTTGTGCTAGGTTTGTTAATCTCGATAGAGCATGGAGCCAGTTCTATGAGGTCGTCCTCATGATGGCATTTGAGACCTTTTCCTTCAAAGGCCATGTATTACGTTTTCACATTGAGTTAATGTTTGAATCCATTAATGTAATATAGAATGCCATATATTATGCTGATTTGTCCTGAATAATGTCCAGTTCACTAATTTAATTGTTTTTTTTTCTCATTGTGCTTTGTAGTCTACTCTAAAAATGGCCATCAGCAAACTAGATAGGAACATGTTGTGCAGAAATGCACTTAAAAATGAAACCGAAGAACTGAAGCTGAAAGGAGTGCGTGGAGTTTGTCTACTTCAGTATTCTGCCCAGAGTCAGGCTTACATAGCTCAGAGCCTCTACTTGAGTTTAACACTGCTGGATTTCAAAATACATGGGATAAATATTGCAAAACCTCATGCAACAATGTTGTAACGTGTCTTTTAATTAGTCTTTACTCAACATCTC